CGGCACGGAGTACGTCAACGATCGCCTTGCCTCCTTCTTTTCTGAGAGGGGTATTGTGCATGAGAAGTCGGCCCCGTATACACCAGAGCAAAACGGAGCAGCGGAGCGCCTGAACAGGACTTTGCTGGAGCGTGTGCGGGCCATGCAATATGATTCGGGCGTACCTCCGGAGCTGTGGGGAGAGGCAATAATGACGGCCAACGCCTTGCGCAACGTGTGTCCTACGAAGGGGACTGTACAGACGCCGTGGGAGCTGTTTACTGGAAAGCCCCCGGACGTTTCTAAGCTACGGGTATTCGGGTGCGTGGCTTATGTACAGGTTCCGAAGGCGCTTAGAAATAAACTTGACCCGGTCTGCGTCAAGGGTATCCTAGTTGGGTATGAACCTAAATTTAGTGCGTGGCGCGTATGGATCCCAGCAGAAGGGCGGATTCGTGTTAGTGTAGATGTGGTTTTCGATGAGGGAATCATGTATAGTGTCGCGTATTTGCTCGATTCGATAGAGGAGTCGCTCTCTTCCGGTACTGATGATGAGGGCCCCAGGAGGGCGCCCTTGGTCGAGATCGAGATGAATCCCGTAGGCGGGCCGGCTGGCGACGAGGGGTCGGATGACGAGCCGGGGCCGTTGATTGATGACGATGAGGCGTCGGATTGGTCCGAGTCTGATCGTGATGATGACGGTGAAGTGGATGAGGAGGTCAGTGAAGGATTGGTTGATGCAGGGCCGTCCAACGCAGGGCCGTCCAACCCAGGGCCGTCAAATGCAGGACCGTCCAATGCGAACAATAATTTGCCATTAGCTCTTGGTAGGGAAAAGCGTTTCAATGCCGGAGTTCCACCCAAACGTTTTGCTTTCCGTGTAGAGATGGAGGAAGAGTCGGATGATGATGTCGATATTCCGGAATCTTACGAGGAAGCAATGGCATCTCCCTATGCTGAATTTTGGCGTGCTGCAATGCTTGAAGAGCTTGAGTCTTTGCGTGCGAAGGGTACTTGGTCCTTAGTGCCGAAGCCCAAGGACAACAGGTCTCTTGACGTTAAGTGGGTATTCTCGCTGAAGCGTGACAAGCATGGTGCCATAGAACGGTTCAAGGCACGCCTAGTAGTGAAGGGTTTCATGCAACGCGAGGGTGTGGATTTTCAGGAGGTCTTTGCGCCGGTGAGCCGGCACACTACCTTGCGTACTTTTTTGTCCATGGTAGCTGGCGCAGACATGGAATTGCACCAATTAGATGTGAAAACAGCGTTCTTGAATGGCGATTTGGAGGAGGAAATTTATGTCAAACAACCCCCCGGTTTTGAAGAGGGAGGCCCGGGGATAGTTTGTCTTCTTCATAAGGCCTTGTATGGCCTTCGTCAAGCGTCGCGTGCATGGTATGACACTATGGAGGCTGAGTATATGGCTGTTTCGGAAGCTGCTAAGGAGGCCTTATGGTTGCGACAACTACTTGGCGATCTGGGCTACGACCTCAAGCCAACGCAGATCAATTGCGATAGTCAGAGCGCAATTCGGTTGGCGAGCAATCCGGTTGTTTCGAAGCAATCGAAGCACATCTCTGTGCGTTATCATTTTGTGCGGGAGCAGGTAGCACTCGGTACGCTTGTGATGGTAGATTGCAGGTCGGAAGATATGGTAGCTGATTGCTTAACGAAGCCTTTACCAACTGAGAAGTTTGAGAAGCATCGTATGGCGATGAACGTGTGCAAGTCCTGAGCGCGTGGGAGTGTTGGAAAGTGCTCTTAGGTACACTCAGGCTTGACACTTCGGTAGTTTGATTAGTTGCCGTTATCCCAATACGACATCGGATCAGGATTGGCTACGGTATGCTTATATACTGCTTGCGTATCCATTCTCTCTCTCTCCTTGTGTAACGATATGAGCGAGTGATGTGTTCACTGAAGGACTCTTATCTCTAACATACACTGAACTTATTAACTCTTTAAATCAGCTAATGCATCATTGACATTTTGGGTGACGGGACGTCCACTCCGCAAAATTCGACGACGCTCGTCGCTCATCTTCTTGTCCCCTGCAAGGCGAATTTTAATATAGGCTGCCATGTGATCTTTCATGAATTTGTGATCCAGGGGAATGGAATTGTATGCAAGAAATCATTGCGGCCCACCTGGGAGAATTTCAACGAAACCAATTGGTACGCAGCAAACGCTTCCAGGCATATTTTGCATTTGTTGATTATGGTTTGTTATCTGAATTCGCCCTAAATGTTGTCGTTCAAGTAGAAGAGGTGGGCCCGACAGATAGGAGTACGGCAGTCAAAACCATAAAAGCTAAGCAGCTGCCGATCTTGGAAGTGTCTGAGTTATTACACATCATGAGAATAAGCGCCATCGTGACATTGCTCCTGGCGGTCGCTTCTGCGTAAGTGAATAGTGTAAGCAAGTTAAAATTAGTAACAAGCTAATTTCTCGGCTACAAGCTTACAGCATACGTAATGTTCTTTAACACCTTTTACATAGAGCTATGTTGTGGCTGGTATGACTCGCTGCTACCATCAGACCGGGGACGACCGGCAAGCATTGATGGCCAGCTACGTCGCTGAAGCGAGTATCCATTTTCAGCTTACCTGGACATCTGCTAGCGATAAACAAGCAAATCATACCTATGTGTATGCATTAGGGATGATAAGGAGCTTACAGCATGTTATTCCACCTTCCCATCTCTCCCCGCAGGGCTTGCCGAGCGCAGGTCTTAGCCACCGCAACGCAGACCGTACTCTACCCAAATTTTCCATTCTTCCAATGCTCCCGGGGTACATCACCATATAGCCTGACTCAAGGAGTGACGGCCTTTGGCAACGGTACCTATTGCTTCAAGCTCAACGTAGTGCCGGTCAGCGGATCCACAGGATACTGCGCGACGAAGGCTGACCTCCGCAAAATTGAGGTAAGATTAATTCAATATAGCCGAACGTCGTGTGATGTTGGTAGGCGTAAGGGTTGTCTTTACGCTTCCCTATCGATCTGCGCCTGTCGGTAAGCGGTGCACGGAACCGTCGCAGTAATGCCATCACTACCTTACCCGGCCTCGGCCCGGCCCCGGCCTCGGCCCTTACCCGGCCCCGGCCTACCTTACCCGGCCTTACCCGGCCTTATGTCCTCGACTCCTTAGACGCCCGCGGATCCAGTTGCTCTCCAAGTTTTTGGTCTGCCATTCGCGCATGGGCCCATGCCTGACAGACCGCCCACCATACCTATCCAGCCGGATCCCCTTGCGCCCTCTCACTGCAGATTAACGTCCGCCCGTCATGTGACACCGATGGTACAATTGTCAGGGCTACCATTAACGGCGTGTTCACTGCGGTGGGACCCAGCTTTTTCAGCCCATCCCAGGGCCCTGAGGGAGCCGTCTTGCTCCGCCTGACGCAGCTGGGTCTCGGTCTCAACAGTGATGCGCCCAGATTTGCCTCACCCTGATTCCCAAGGCCTCAGGTCGCGGCTGCACCACCCTGGAGCAGCTGTGCGAGCCGCCATCGGGGGCGCCCCAAGGTGTCTGCTCGGCGGCGCTGGTAGACTCGCAGCTGAGCTGCTGCCCTATCTCCAGGCTCAGTGTTCCCAGCCCGCCTCCACCTTCTCTGCCACCTCCTTCACCTCCACCACCCCCGCCTCCGCCTCCGCCTCCCTCACCGCCTCCCCCTGCACCCCCGCCCCCATCGCCGCCGCCTCCCCCGCCGCCACCTTCTCCACCACCACCCTCCCCTCCTCCCCCTTCACCGCCTCCCCCTTCCCCTCCTCCCCCTTCACCGCCTCCCCCCTCACCCCCTCCCCCTCCCCCTCCACCACCACCCCCCTCCCCTCCTCCGCCCTCCCCTTCGCCGCCTCCTCCCCCTCCTCCTCCACCGCCCCCGCCCTCTCCACCTCCTCCCTCGCCGCCGCCACCTCCGCCGCCGCCGCCCTCTCCCCTTCCTCCCCCTCCCCCTCCACCACCACCACCACCTCCATCCCCTCCTCCACCCTCCCCTCCTCCTCCTTCACCGCCTCCCCCTTCACCCCCACCTCCCTCGCCAGCACCTCCTCCT